CGATCTCATGAAGGTTGGGTATACAACATAACTACTTTGGAAAAATTTGTTCAATCAACTTCACAAAGCTATTAGCCTTTCATTTTGAGAAGTATATAATTATTCTGTTGATATTCTAATGTTCATATTATCATTTAAAACAGATAAAACTCTGTGAAGAAAAGGACCAAAGTTACCTTTAGTTAAAGAAGAAAGGGTCCCCAATCTTTAGAGGCCCCCAGAAACATTGTTTCTCTTCAATAGCCTAAACCTATAAATGTTGTTGATATTCAAATGCAGTTTAATGTCATCCCTAGAAGGTAATAGTTCCAAACCAAAGCCATGACAGTGTCCTTTACCAAGCACTTAATCAATCTTAACATTGAAGTTCCATCAGCCTGATAGAGTTGTACAAAGGACATACTTCTCTAGGGGGCAACAGAAATTGGTGCTCTGTAGCCAATTTTGAGTAATAGATAGCATTGGCCCCTATAACTAAAAGCTGGTCCCTGGCTAGCACCCCCCCCCCCAGATTTTTAAGGCTGGATTTGCCACCGTTTAGACATTGAACAAAAATGTTTGGTAACTGTCAAGGCAAAAACTGTAAGGATACTTGTTCCTTGTCCAAAAAGCTTGCAAGGCTATCATTCAAATGATTGTTTATGAAATGCTCTTTTGCTTATACCCCTATTTTCCAAGAAATTTTGCTGAGTGATCATATAAAGAGAACTTAATTCTTCAACTTTCCAATATGATGCATCTTTATCTATTAACCTTTTATAGGACAATAACTAACTGAAAGGTACTATGTGCTATGCCATCACAATTTCAAGCCAACATTTAATAGGAAAATTTCTTCAGGCATGTTTACTAATAAGTGGTCTAGATTTTTGAAGTATTTTTTGGACTGTGACAAGAGTTTTTCACTAACCTTATGTTTAATTTAAAGCTTCAGATCAAAAGTGATTTTTTGTTATTAATAGACCATTTTAATGTATATTTAATGCAAATCTTGAAGCAAAATGTAAAATAGAACTTTAGCGCCAGCTTATATTGTCTTGATAGGTTTTTAAATTCTGTACACAACATCTGCTTTTTAAGGACACTTTTGTTGAATATAACAAGCTGCTTTTAGCATAACATGAATTTTTATGCACAAAAACGTGTCAGAAAGAACATGTTTATCAATACTCTGGTTTTGTGTTTAGCTGATGACAGACCTGATATCGTTGCCATGTATTTGAAGGTTTTTGTAAATTTTGGTTATTTTGATCTTTCTTTGTTTTTATGATGGTTTGGTTGACATAAACCTCACAAAATATGGCCAGAAAGCAACACAAAATCCATTTCATGTTTGCAAAGAACTGAAAGTCTCAAATGCCTTTTTGAAGAGCAAATGTCAAACAAGTTGGCTGTCAAGAATTAGCAAATGTTAGTAGACCATGTATTAGGCCTTGCTCTAAGCGAAATGAAAATGATCCATAGATTGAGCTTTTAAGAAACTTAAGGCGCTCTATTTCACACCTCTACAAAAAATTGCCTTATAAGCATCTTTGGAAGGAGTGCAAAGGTTGAAAAGTTAGTGACAAAAGAACTAGTCGGCTTCTACTTGGCATTGACAATCGAGATTGAGCGTCCATATATTGTGTCGTATTTATTTGTATACAACATTGTGTGAACAGACCTCAGGTGTTTTCTACACATAAGCATTTTCATAAGTTAGCGTTTTCTTTTTAGTAAAAACGAACCAAACACTTTACGTAAAAACGAAAACTATTCATTTTCAAATATCATGGCGTTTTCAAATGATTCAACTCTTTAATTTTTTTATGCGTTTGTATTTACGATGTAAATAAGGTTCTATTTGAGCATTTGTTTCTTCATTAACTTTTTCTTTCGTTTCATCAAAATCATAACTCTTGTACAAATCTTTTAAATCATAACAATGCGGTTATTCAAGACCATAGTTTAAGCAAAATCGGGGGATAAAACATAGGATAAAACAACATGTTCGTTCCAACATAAGAAACGAAACTGGCCCTCAAAGAGAACAGTCTCCTCGATCTTGTAGGTCTAGAAAACACGGCAAAATCTAGCGACTCTGTCATCTGACAACATTTTTTAGACAACCCAGATTGTGCTAAACTCAATAATGACGACTTGTTTCGGATAATTGGCAGAGCCCGGTGGTCTTTCCCTCTAGAAGTTTTGGAATCGATCTACATATAAACGAAAAAGCCGCCATTGTGTAGACAGAATAAGTTCGTTTTCTCTCTTGGACTACAGTGGTAATTTTTCTATAGGCACGTAGCACTGATCAGTCAACTATACGGTTCTTGTGCTTGCATTTTTCTGATTGGCCTATTTTGATCCACAACTGGGTATATATTTTTCATCGTGTTCTTTCGGACCCTTTTTCTGACTTTTTATAATCTGAGAAGTGTCAGACGAAAAAGCTTTTAGTAAATATGTTGTGAAATGTTTGCTTTTTTAAAGCCATTTTCAAGTTCTGTACCACAAAAAAGATTTTTCTATCGATGTTTTGTGTGGTTCACTTTTTGTGTTTTCTAAATGCTATGTATTGTTATACAATGGATCTTAAGCATGTAACCCATTTTCCTTACTCAATTTTTGTGGGATTTTTTATAATTTAAGATCTGATGTTTTCTATGCACTTTGTCTTTGGTGTCACATACGTTTATGTTTTTATGATGAAATAAAGTATTTTTATTGTATTTTCTATATTACAGTAGCTGGTTTTCCGCATAGAATAGGCCTCCTATTTTTTTGCATTTCAGTTCTACCTCTAATTCACCAATTTAAAAATTCTCCTGGTCAGATTTTGAGCACCAAGGAGCTAAAAGAAGCACCCCTTGTTTGAAAATTGAGAAACGTTTGCCCTAAATATTCAGAATCAGTAATTTTGAATTCAGGCGGAAAGCAATTTCTAGTACGTTTTTAAGCAGGCAACTTTTTCTCCTCTTGAGAAAGCCCAATGCAGTTACACGTTTTTTCAGAAGTACAATTGGCTCCAATTTCAGTTCAACCTGGTGTTCCTTATTTTTCCTCCTGTGCATAGGGTCCCGAGTTAGCCTGTTCTCTCATTTTTCAAGCTTTGCTTGTATTTTATTTCTTGAGTTTTGTCGAATTTCAGCGTGCCTTGTTTCTTATGTTGCTTTTATTTTTTGGGCAAATTTCAGCCTGATGTTTCTTTTAAGGGTTGTTTTTATAATAAAAGCGTGTATGTTATGTACCGTTTCCCCATTTGTTAGATGCGTGAAACGCTTAATTGCTCAAAATTTTAAACAAGATTTGTAAGTAGTATAGTTTCCTGTAATAAACCCCAGTACCTATATTTTTGACCTTAAACCCCTTCCTCAATTTAAATCCTGCAATACATCAGTTTTATCAGGAAAATATGGCAAATTGCTGCCAGGCATCCGTAGTCTCTCGGTAGCATATTGCAAAAAGTTGGTATCTACGTTAGAACAAGGTCGTGAAAATGTTTTGATTGAAAATTGCCTGTCAAACGGGGCAAAGTTATCCTTGGGGCTCCTATAGCGTTACGTTTGTCTTCCTTTTCTAGAAGTTTTTAAGACCACACTGCAAAGGTTTCGATACCTTTGTTATGTAAATTGCAGTCATGTACGCCCACTTGTCAGCAAACAGTTTCCAGAAGCTAAATACCGTTTTTTAAGACAACTATGAAAAGCTAGATCGTTTTTGCATAAATTATATTCTATTCTTTAGGAAAAATTAGTCGAAGAAGATGACTAAATTTTCTGCAAGTGAACAAGTTTTTTTTTCTCGCCTCAATTTTCCCTAGACTTTTCTTATCCCGATTTTATTTTACCAATAGACAGTGGATACGAAACTAAGCGATTAGTGGCTTTATAATGTCGATCAGGTGTCCAGGATATCGTGAAATAAGAAAAATGTGGCATCAGGTTCGATCATATCTTTTTGGAACAATGAATGGAACTATACTCTATAAATTAAGAGAATTTCCTTGCTTCAATTGGCTAATGAGCTTCAAAATAAGTTCCGTCAAAGTGTTTGAATAATATTTTAGTTTGTAGGATGTATGATCGCCATTGGGAAGGGTTTCGAAATGCGTTTGAATGAAAATAGAGATTTTTCGATCTAGGGAGGTGGGGTGGGGGGGGGGTGATGTTGGATACTTGCAACCCAAACATGATTTATCAATATGATTTACACTGTTATTGTTTGTTTTGCTTTTTTGTGTGCTATCAAGCTTTTTTAGTTGCTAGAGTGTCGCTCACCTGTAGCCATAAACGTTTGCAATTGGCCTCTAGATTAATTACTACACACAAGAGGGGAAATTTGCGTATAGTTTTTTCATTAAATATCGTTTACAAAATATGTTGACCTTTGTTAGTAAAGATTTCTTTGAGTTTTATATCCCCCCTCCCTCATAGCGATTTCCCCTGATCTCGTCACAACATTCTCGTCAAAAACCATTCTCCCCAACAATAATGGTGATTGTTAAACAAATGTCGCTCAAACTACACGAAAGAATGCAGACTCAAATCCTCATTCGTCACTTAGTAGTTATTGAACTTTGTCCAAGAGGCGATGGAAGGGTATCTGAAATCCATTAAATTAAACTATTTGAACCAGATTGAAGTTAGCGTAGCAAGTCGTTTGGAAACGATTGTAGTCCACCGTATCCAAATCCTGCTTTGCTCTTCTTTCAATCAAGCTGACACGACCATAACCTTCGGGCTACTTTTATCATATCCCATGTTGTTCTTTTATGGTTTTAAAAGTTAAGACCAATAAGCAAGTATTTTCTAAAGCAGAGCTTTTTTAAGTGGAGAAATAAATTTTTTACTTTTCACAGAATAAGTTTTTTGCATGTTCGTCTTTGAATTTTTAATCCGGCACGATACCCCTTTAATTATTTGTAAAGTACGTTTTCCTCAAGCTTTTCACGGAAAATTTCAGACCATTTTATCGTTTGACAGAGATTGATGTCTTTTGTTTTATTCTTTTATCAGGAAGGCCATGTCAGTCCCACATTCTGATACGCCGTCACATGTGGAGGGAAGAGCTGAAAATTGGTTTCAAAACGCAAGGAAACAGGTTTTTCCGGATAAAGTTGACTGGAGCGTGAGTACTTTCCCAAGATGCCATTTTTCATTTGTTTCTGGCCGTTTCTGGTCGTTTCTGGTCGTTTCTAGCCGTTTCTGGCCGTTTCTGGCCGTTTCTGGTCGTTTAAAAAGCCATCGCTAGAATCTCAAAACCCTGTCTATGAATATAATAAAGATAATGTAACAAACACACCCTTAAAGTTTGCTATGCAATCAACCGTATGTGAGCTTCATCTTCTGTCTAACTCCTAATTTTTTGCCAGTATAGAAGACCAGGGGCGAAACTTCACTATTTCCATTAGGGGGGTATGAAGCTTAGTTGCCCGACGAAAGGGCGTGGCATGCTTGATGAAAGGGCGTGTCCTACATGAACTTCATTTTTAGAGCACATCGCCTCAAGGGCTGAAATCATCGGGAAGCCCGAGAGAGGGTCTTTAGACTCAGGCTGTTTGTTTTGAGTAAAAAAATATGCCTCTAGTTTTTCTGGTGTTGGCTATAAACATTTGTTTCCGATAAGCAAGCATTTGTAAGGCCTGTCTTTTCTATAAAAAAAAGTCTTCACTTTCTAAATCACCTAGCTATTAAGAGAGCAATTCAAAAAAGAGATTGAAGTAGGGTCTCAATTTTATCAAAGTGGAACACCAAAACACAGCTTGGAAATTTCGGAATTTAGAAACAGCTACGCAGATTACAATGTTCCAACAAAAAAGAGCTTCAGTTGCATTCTCTGAGTTTCATTTTCAATTTTCGGTTGCTCCGGAAGCAATTTCAATATTTTTAGACACCCAAGCACAAAGTACGTATATCTAAATTCACCATAACAAAAACACACTTTACTTTCTGTCTATACTTTTGCTGTCGATCAATACTTCAGACTTCATCTCGAGGCGAAGATAAACATGTGCGCGTTGAGCTCCAGACGAAAGCGCTGATCAGTGGACGGACGAAAGACAGAAATGTATATATGTTGCTGTTCCTAGCCTCCTTTCTGTTTTGTTTCCCCAACTGGGAGGAGATTGAAAAAAAGATGGGGGAAAAGACCATGAATTAAAAAGCCAACCTAGGGCAAAAAGTAGCAATAAAAGTGCGACCTAAAGAAAATTTCCAGATTTGCCCGACAGATACACTAGCAGCCATAAATTTGCCCGACAAAATCTGCTTTTTTGAAGATTGGAGGGGTGCAGCACCCCCCCCATACCCCCCCAGTAGTTTCGCCCCTGTAGAAGACACTTATGTTGGTTAAACGAATTCTCTGTTGCTTACCTCCTTTCGCGGACGTTCGAAGCAGATCGGCAAGTTGATGACGTCATAGAAACTATTATTTAGCGTTGTTGTGTTTTGGCTACATAATCAGAAATACCACCGTCAAACACCTCCAAGGATGCAAGATACGTGTAATCCGTTTTAAATTTACCTGAATGTGACCATTGAAAAACCCAAGCTTTACTAACGAGTTTCAGTTATTGTGGCCTAGCCCTATAGTTTTAGAACCAAAACGAAAATACATTAGTTTGATGGAGAAAGATCCTGTGCACATTTTGTCCCATCTAAGATAGTTTGTAGCAGATCTAGCTTATTTCGTAGATTTAGAAGTGATGAATGGTGTTGCTTTAGCTATTACATCATAGCTCAGTCATATCTTTTTATGCCGTCATCATTTTGTCTAGAGACAAGCGTTCGCTCCTGTTTACTGGTACAGGGAGAAAATGACAATCGCGTATTCAGTGCGATCTAAGCTGTTTCGCGTCTTTTTTTGAGCATACAAATCCTTTCGATGAATCAACATCGAATAAGTCAATGCAACGGATCTTCCATTATCATCATATGTTATCTCCAAACGTCATGTTTTGGCTTTAGAATCAAAGCAAGAACATACTAAACATATGCCAGTTGAGTATTAACCCAACCTACCATACGCTCACTGGATGGGGGATGAGCCCTTCAAAATCTATCTAAATTTTAACAAGGGAGAGGGGCCTAGTCTCGATCTCATCTCGATCACAAGCTCGATCTCACGACAACCCTGATCGTAGCTTGTTAGGATCTTAGCAACATAACACAGCCCGCTTGCAATACCATCTTCAGATTTCTTTTGTCTTTGCGTATAGCATGGCTCCTGACTAGGTTTCCCTGCTGTTCTGACTATCTATTTAATATGTTTTTCACTTATTGCATTGTGTTTTCTTTCTCAAAATTTATTTTACCATTTTCATATAGACATCTGCCGTAAATGGCGGACATATTTGGCTGGATGCCGATGCTTCTGGTTGCCATATCCAAGACTGCAAGGTGAGCCAGCTCATTTTGTTTGGGTATCAGAGGAGTTTTTTCTGCCTTTTCTTGTAATTTTAACATGGGTTTTCAGCTGAAATGGGAGGGTGTTTTCTTGCTAAAATTGACAATTAGGCTAAAAATTTCACTGGCAAAGGCCCATCGCCCTCCTAATTTCAGCCTTTGTGACCTTCGTTTTATTGCATTGTGAGCCTTGAACAGTATTCCCAACAACGCTCACTCGCTCTCTCAGGTATAAAGAACTGTTAGGATAAGATAATTTGAGTGAGTATTCATATTTCTGGCACCAATCATTGTTAAATCTGTTAGAGACACTCTGTATTTAAATATGGACGCTAATCAAGTTGAACGAGCCTGCTTGTTATTGCTGTTTTGCTATTATAATTTAATTTAAACTGGCTCTAGTTTCCTGCAAATCAGGCTGCATTATGCTCATATTAATAACGAACAACCGGTACCTAATTCCTAATTGTTATTGAGAAATCAATTAACTAGCAGCACTTCAAGAGATTCTGCCGAACAACTTTTACGTCATATTGATCTTTGCTGGTGTTTTATTGTACCCGATGTACTAACCTGATTACATTTTAGCTGGTTGTTAGCGTTTGCCCCCCGGATTTTGCTCATTATACCTGGATGTCATGTTGATCGCTCCCATGTGTTATTTTCCAGAACATTTTTGTATTATCGGGGACCGCGGAAGCAGAGGGGGGGTTACGGGAGCTTTAGCCCCCCAATAATTTCCAGACTGTACAAAAACCATACAAAAATCGCCATGCTCTTGGTTTTGAGCATATTCAAACCCCCCATCCCCCAAAAAAAGATGTTTTAGCCCCCTCAATCTGTATTATGCTCAGCGATCCTTGTGTATTATCCTTTAGGCATTGTTTGAGTGTAAGGCTTTCTTACATAGTATTGTCATTTTTCAAAAAAACTGCGCCTGAAGTTTGTGATAGCAAAATATCTTCTCTACTTTCGTTACATTTCGTCATAGAATTTTAATTATTTGTATTTCTCTGTTTCTTGTTTTAATTCCATTCCAATAACTTCAATTGTAGAAATCGGGAAACAGGAAAAAATGTGCAAGTAAGTTATATATTTTTTGTGATTCCAGATCTGAGTCGTTTTCTGGGTGTTTGCTCAAGAACCTCCTACGAACATCTACAAACATTATTCAAAATGATTTCTTTTTGAAAAAAGCAAAGAATTATGTTTTTTTGTATTTCATTGTTAATAATTCACAATTGTTACTCGTTATACACTTATCATCATTCCTTTTGCATCAGACACCAGCAAATTTCTCATCTTCGCCACTGCAATGTTATTTTATTTGATTCTAACAATGCCTTTCAAGAAAAATGCCTGAAAAATCTGCTCTGCAAACCCGCATTATTCAATATTGCATTCTTATTCCAAAGCTTTGCGTTCATATTGTAAGTTTTCCAATTTCTTAATCCTTATTTCTTATAATTGATCAAAGTTATCGCCAGAGAATGTCAGCAACGATCTGTAGGCCGAGTTAATGGAATAGGAGATAACGTGATTTGAGAAAATTTCTTCACAGTAAGCCATTGGATTCAATTGTGGCTGTAATTGCAAAAAATTGTGCCTCTTACTTTGAGTCTTCCAATTCATAAGTCCCTGTATTTCTTTTTTGTTTGAAATTTTCTATCTTTTTTTAATTGAATAGGACTCATTTTGTAGATACTTCAAATGCGCAGAAATTCGTCTCGTAGAAAAATGTTTTAATGTTTGGAAGTCTTTTAAGAACCTATTTGTTTGCTTGCTTATTTACAATATTTTGTTTGCTTACAGGCTGTAAAGTTTTGGTTCATGAAAAATGCATTGAGCAGCTAGAAAGGGTAGCTTTTCTCATACTTACATATATTACAATCTTGCAACAACACTGTTTCATCTCTTAAAAATCCGAAGTCCACGCTCCAAAGTCTCAAACGATGAGAAAAAGGCAGTGCATGAACTTTTGTGCTTTGTAAGATGAAAAAAAAGATGTTGAAGGCTTCACATTTGATTTTCCCTCACTCAACGAGCATCATGATTTATTAAAAGTACTTACAGAAGAAATTTCGTTCAACACGATTCACATTTTTTATTATTTTTTACTCATTGATACAAACACTAGGCCACGAACTCCACGAACTTTTGGTTAAACCAAACACCTACTATGTACCACGCTGTATTATTTTTGATGATATATATTTGTGATGATTCTTACCATAATTTTTTAAAACAGCAAATATTTTTAACATTTCGCGTTTTTAGTTTAAATTCTATTAAATGTTAGATATAAGCAAAGTCTTTTTCATATAATTTATTGTTTTTAGATAAACAGCTGCAAGTGCAGGCCAACTTTTGTCGAAGGATCAGCTGCAACGTTGAAGCTGGTATGTTTTGTAATACTGTTGATAAATATTTCACATAGAAGTTCTTTTTTGATCAGAAATGATTATTTCAAGAATGAAATGCTGCCTTCCCGTTTAAATAGTTAATTAGCCCAGCTATCTTTCAAAACTGAAAAGCTATGGTATTTTTACGTTGTCTACCCACCAACTGCTTGGCTTCGAGTTTCAGGCATGTTTTAACACATGTTGTTTGAGGCATGAAAGTTGCATGACATGGAGTTTCAATTATTTCCAAGCACACTTTTAGATTCATTGATGCTCAGATGCCTATATCCCGTTTTCTCGTCTTTTGGCAATTATCTGTTTTTGTGTGTGCAGTTTCCACAATTCAATAAGGGAGATCTGAAAATGGCCTCATTTCTGTGAATATAGTCCTGTTATATATTTACTTTATGTAATTTGTCATGATCATGTTCAATATGCATAAATTACAACATTCACTGCCAAATCCTTGTGAACATGGTCTTATTTTATTTTTGATTCAGTCACTTGCTATTATTTTGATATTTTAACGAATTTTATATTGTTTCAGTTTCCGTTTCATTGTAAATAATTGTGTGATAAGTCAAGCTTAACTGTTAGTATTAAAAGTTTTGCTAGTTGTCGTGAAGCAGATAAGCATTCTCTGACCTTAGGCGACTCTTGATTGGCTAATACAGCCAAAAATCTTCTTGACATGTATGACACGATTTTAATTGGGTTGCCCTATCGGTATTTGCTTTTCATCAAATAATATTTCATTATTTGAATAATATTTCATGAAATATTATTATATAATTTGATATTGCAGCCGTTTCCACTTCACCATGTAGCGCATCGACGGAAACAGGACGGCAAATGTGATACATGTGGCAAAGTACGCTGCTCTTTCTCATCCTGCTAACATAATGTGTTTATATTTTGATGGCTAAATGACTTTCTTGCGGTAAATTGTGGATTGAAATAGCTGGGATTATTTCATCTTGTGAGTCGAAGGCCTATAGATTCTGATCCAAGGGCTTGATTCATTTAGTCCTTTCAGAGTCTTGAACCTTCTCCATTTTTAACTTCCTGTAAAAGATATGCCTTCCTGTAATTCGCTTCGGCTGGATTCGACACGTGAAGCTGTAAATTTGCCCCACAGAAACCTGTAGATATAGGAAAAACAATGTAAAAATAGAGGATGAAAAAGCGACTGTTAGCGAAAGAGGTTTTGTAAGAGGTAAAAGGGGCAAGCGAAGTTTTTATTTCTAGTCTAAGAATTTAGCCTAAGAGAAAATGGATTTAAATGCTTAGTATAGAGGACCTCAATATGTAATCACATCCAAACCTTTGTTATATATCCTTTCAAGGGAAAAAGGGCACCAAAAAATAAAATGCTTTCTGTTCAAAAGGAGCATTTCGTATTAATTTCACTTATGACGTTGCAAGCTTGGACATTTCATGCAAATTTGTTTGATTTTTTTATATTTCTCGACTTAGTGGTGTTCATAACAGCCTTGGCACTTAAGCCAATCATTTTTATTTCGATACAAGAACTATCTATTGTTCTTTTACGTGTTAACTTGAAAATGGCTTTGTAAAAAACATTATTAAACTGGATTTTTCGTTTTCGTTTTAGTATTTTCAATCAATGTTATCATTCCAATCTGCCAAGGTACGTTTATTTTTGAGAAAGTTATTTTGATCAGTTTGTGGGGTATTAATTCATTCATTTCAAACAACCTTTTGGTGGTACAAAACTTGAAAATGGCTTTGAAAAAGCAAACATTTGAGTAAAGTAAAGCTTTGTCTATGTTCTGACGTTTTAAACTCTGAAGACTGTCAGACGAAAAGCTTTAGTTTACTCAAATGATTGCTTAATTCATTTCAATTACAACAGTGTATAAAAGACAAGGGATCTGTCAAGCAAAACTTGCAATCCCCTTCTACTTGCTAATCTAATGGAATTCAGTTCGCTACATGTTTTGTAAACTCTCTATATATATAGTTTTCAAGCTATTAATGCTTGAATTTCGATAATTAGTTTATTGAGTTAACGAGGAAAGGAATTCGGGTGTGGTGATACTGTGGCCTAGATTTTACTTCATATTTTCTCCGCAAGACTTTGTCTACCTATGAAGAGCTTGTACCTTTTGAAATTCGCAAGATGGACCTGCCTTTGATAAATACTGTTCTATTTCATTTGAACGAATATTTCAGATTCTCAGAATCTGTATATGAAGCTCTAGGATGTGTTGTGTTACAGGATATACAGGCAATCTCTTTAATTGCCAGCAAAAAAGCTTGTGCGTAAAACCGCATGTACAAGATTTAAGGCAAATCACAGTTCAACATAGCGTGATTATGAATAAATTGATCACGTTAATCCGACAGATTTTGAATTGAAATATTAATTTGAATTTTTCAACTTGAAAATTCTATTTTGTCAGTCAATGGGTGTTTTCATACGTTTCGTTAAGTGCACATTAATTTTTGACCTAGGAAGCAATTAAAGGCGAACATGCCTAGCAGAAACCAAATCTTTGCTCGTTTCTTCCGGAAAGGGGCAAATTTTCAACCTTGTAACTTAATACTTATAAAAACAGTTTCACCATGCCTACCGCAACAGAAACTTGTTAATTGAAGTGAATACGATGTTTTTGCCTGAGAGGCCCTTTAAACAAGGTTGTTAGCACACCCTTCGTATGGACTTTCCTCTCACTAGGGAGACTTTCTTTTCATTAGTATGTCATCTTTCTGTGTGATATGCTTACATCTAAGCACACGGTTGAAATATCTTGAGCATGAACTTGTGTGACAACCTGCCATCTCTCTACATCTGCAATCATTTCATTAAAATTAATTAAAAATACATTATCCTTCTACTGGCCCTCGCTCTTATTACCCAGCGTATTCAAAATAATCCTTTTCTTTATCGTGTTTGACGGCTTGCTGAGTAACTCAATAACCAAATAATAAAGTTTTTAGGAAATCGTTTTATACTTCGTTTTGATATAGCATATTTGACACTTTTTGTACCCCTTTCGTGTCTGACCTCTTCTTTTTACCCCCTTCCATATCTCTACTTTTGCCTTTTTAACAGTTCATTTTCTACACTACCCCCTTTCTTTATTGTCCCTACCGGTAATTCTACAGTTGTTTCTGCCTTTTCCCTGCCTCTCTTGCTTTATTTCTTGCTGTTGTTTTTGAATATTTTATGCAAGAACCCCCCTTGTTTTTTAGCATTCCCCTGCTGCTTCTATCAAAATGAATTACTTCCCCGCCCTCAACCCAACTTCTATTTTGCCAGACTCTTCACTGCTTCTAATGCTTTAATATTTTTGTTTGTTTTTTACAGGACATGATTGCAGTAAATTGCTCTTGGTGCAAAAAAGCTGTAAGTCTTCATCAAATTCAGCGTTTTTGAACTTTTTTCTAAAATTTCTTTTCCTAAAAATGTTGCATATTTGTTGGTAAAGTGACAAGCTCACGGGAAGCAAATTTTTCGCTAGGCAAGTCAACTTAAAACTTTTTTTGGCTTTAGTGATAATTATATTTTCAATTTGGGGAGGACGAGGGGGGGTTGCAGTTATAAAATGCCATAGAATATTTTACTTTCAAACCATTTTGTGTTCCCGCTGTAAAAACCCCTTCAAACCCTAAGAACAACTTTCTCTTCGCGCCGCAGATTTCCATCTTCCGAGGACCAATGCTTGATTTTTTTGTATAATGGTGTCCTAATTTTGAATTTTAAAATAATAATGTTTTCATCATTTTAGAATATTACACCAGACTTTTCACGTTAATGTTTCGCTGTAAGCTTTTCGATGTATTCCAAAGACACAATTTGCTTTACTTAATATTTTCGGCTATTTTCAAAGCTACAAGTAAAATTCATAATTTCAGGTCCACAATAAACCAGAGTGTTCCAAGGATATGTATATGGATGAAAAATGTACCCTTGGAATGCACCACAGATTGATAGTGCCGCCATCTTGGATTGTGAAGCTTCCTCCTCGTAAGGTTAGCCACGTGACAGTACAGTTGCTCTAGGGAATTCAATTGTTGCGTCTCCTTTAATTATCTGCTAGTATATCAAGCAGTCAGTGTTTATTTTGAAGGAAATTATTTCGAAATGAGTAGAAAGATTTTTCTCGAATTATTTTGTCGAATTGCCTGAAGAGTATAAGATACGTGAAGAAGCTTGAGAATTATAAAGCTATTGTAAAAGACGGGAATCTAAAGACTGAAGCTGATAGTTGTGATTATTTGCCAAAGCAACCGTTGGCTTAATTTGATACACATGTAGGCCTTCCACGAGGGCTTTTTGTTTACGGTGATGAATCCTCGTTGTTTGCAAATTTTGCAAGATAATTATTTCTCACGGAACGGGTGGTTTTTTCATCAATCATAATTTGGAAATAAGTTTGTTAAAATACTTGAATGAATTAATAATGGAAGATATTGTTATTGGCGGAACTTTTTCACAGCCTTGCGAACTCTTGTTTCTACATATTTACATATCATTTATCATCTTACAAAGGTTTTGGAAATTTCGGTTTCTTTCGTGCTTCTATGAAAATAGCAGCTGCTAACTCTCACTCAGTTTAAGAGTCCAAGTGTGAGACGAAACTCTTTCCACCTACGCAAGTCAAGATCCTTTGTATGACGTAGCCGATTGGTCAAAACAAGGCACCAATGAAACGTCTCCTTCTTCCTCTCACATAACTTTTGATCCTCATCTGGATATAAATTTTCAGCTTGCCACTGGTTATTATCTGGCGTTTATATGCTGAGGAACTAAGTGTTCTGTAGTATTTATGTTTCTTCTTTTTCTTGGTTTCTTCAAATTTTGCGTTACCAAAGCTCATTAACTTCTTTCTTTCTTAGTACTCAACAACGATGCCGGGTAAACAACGGAGGGCCACACGAAGGCGGTCGAGTAGGGTATGAACAATGCTTAATAAAGGGGGTATATTGCATAATAATTATCACGTGACTGTGTCTGGACATTACTGTTTATCAATCCGTCATTTGGTACTCGGTGTCCTATAAGCAGAGCTGTACATGCTTACATCAGAATGGTTCTGTGTTATAGCATTTTGATATTATATTTTCTTCAAAAGAAGCCGCCCTTGGACTGAAACCGCATACACTAACCGCCCTTTTATTGAATGGATGGATAGCACCAAATCGCTTCATTATGACATAATTTCTATCTCTCGTTCTTCTGACATTTTATAAGTCATCTTTATTCCCCACTTTATACTTTCAACTAATCGTCAAACGTTGATGCTTGTTCAGGCTCGATGCTTAACAAGTAACTGTGTTTTTGAGGAGGATCTCACTGGCATATCACAGGCCGTTTCCAATCTGGGCGCATTTTAAAAGCTCACTATTTAGCGTCTGTATATTCAGATGGAAGTCTGTTTTTTATCAACACTGTCACTAATTGCTGATGTAGACTCTTTTTGTCCCCAGGAAAGACGTGCTTTTGTGGTAAGATGTGTTTATTTTTCTATTTTTTACTTGATGTAATATTAAAAAGAGCATAATTGATGATAAGGGCAAAGTGTAGAGCGCAAAAAACCAGGAGTTTGTAACAGTTAGTTTCTGATGTTAAAGGTCATTGTTTCAATCGAAGGGAAGGCTTTAAAACAAGGCCCATGTGGTACTGCCACCCTCTTTACAAGTTATGACTCACTTTTGTGAGGGTTACTTAAAATGTGAATGGCAGCATCGTATTGTTCTAGGAATTGCAGAGACTATGATAAAGGATCGGTTTAAAATGTCTTTATATTTATTCATTATCATCAAATACTTGGTCGCTGCTTCAGATCTGAATATTTTATCGTTTTGTTTTTTAAGATCAAGCCTATACCGGGAAGCGAGGATAAGATTCCAATAATTGTCTTTGTGAACCCAAAAAGTGGTGGAAATCAGGTTTGAATTCTGAGGCCTTTTATGTACCGAAATCTGTTAATCAATTGATTCATGTGAATTGCATTTACATTAGGATTGTTGTGTGGAAAAGGCTAGAGATGGGATGGATTGCGTGGTGAATTAACTGAATTTATGTTACGAGTTTAGCTAAATACATCATAAACAATTTGGGTGGGGGGGGGGGCTGGGGATTTGGCTTTCGCTTATGGTGAAAACAAGATAACAATGTGAGAAATTCAGACAAGTGAATGAGACCAATCACCAGACGGTAGGAGGACGTTTGCTAGCTAGCCTTTCGGGCTTGATGACAACTGATTCCATTCCTGCAAAGTTGGTTAAAACAATTTTACCCCACATATCCCGATCCAGGTCTATACAAAATTGTAGATTTTGTCCTTTTTTGCAGGGAACGAAAATTATGGAGAAATTTCAGTGGCTACTCAACCCAAGACAGGTTAGTATCCTCTTGTGAATTGGTTTCCTCTTACCAACTCCGTTTGTGTGTAATGCTACAATCATGGCAAAAATTCTGTAAACATCCAGATATATGCATTGTGTTTTTATATTTTTCAGCTCTCCTACTTCCGCATCTTTTGCCCCTGAACAATGTTGATAATTTAGACAATTATCATAAAAGTCGCAGAAAGAAACGTACTTCCTATCTCCTACGTCGTTTGGTAGTAAACATTGTTCAAAGGGGGAAGGGGATATCTAAATTTGCCCTTGAAAACTGACGTTATTGTATCAAGACTCTTTGCAAGCATTACAGCTCTATCGTTTTCGCTTATTCTTAAGCTATCGACATATAATTGAGTGATTTAGGCCATCTGCCGATCGACAATTTGCCTGACGATAAGGATGATATCACTCAGATGCTTTTTGATTGCCCAATAGTTGCTTGAGAGACTATTGTATCCGTCGATGGCCTTTAAAGGCTCTTGTGCAACCGGCATGCCTTGCGACTATATTTTCAAAACCGGCCTAGTATCGTACTGTATGAAAATACAAAACACAGTTAATTTTGTCAAGAAAGCTGCCGCTAAGCATGCTGGTTGCGCAAGGGCCTTTAAATGCATATTATATTTAATGTGTCTCACAGCATTATGCCGGAATATGCCTCTGCTTTTCCTTGACAATTACCTTGGACTCTGCTTTGATAGCAATTTCTGAATCTCTGATAGAAATTTGTTGACCCCTGCACACTGAAAGAGGTGCAAAGACGACTTGATTTAGGTTAGCATAAAGCCCTCGGCTGGCTTTTTAGGGAAATCCTTTTACTTGTCTTTTTTTAATCCCCATGTATTATAACGTCTGTGCCCGGTACTGTATTTGTTTACAAGTTAACTATGCAAATCTCCCAGCGCCTTTTTTAGTCGTGATACAGTCAGGCTTTTTATTGCATTGGACAATATCCATTGTTTGGACAACTGAACCAATCAAATGCTTTATTGACCGACGGCTTTTTATGTTGTCTTTATCGATTTTCATTTTAAGGTTTTTGACCTAATGTCTGATGGTGGACCAAGGTTTGGGTGAGTATCTTTGGTCAATCAATTTCAACATCACTTTTTTTTCTCTGGAAGCATATTTATTTTATTCATTTGTTGCCTTTTTAACTATTCTTTCTTTCAAATAATTTTGTGACAAAAATTCGTTCATGGGTTCTTAATGGCATCAAATATTTCTTGAAGGTTGGAATTGTATAGAAAAGTACCTAATCTTCGAATTCTCGTCTGTGGTGGAGATGGTTCTGTAGGTTTACATTACTTTGTATTTTTCATTTTTGCCTTTTGTTGCAATTTACTTGCCTAAAATTGAGTGTGTTAACTTCTTCTTGTATCTCACCCTGAATGCATGTTTGATATCCACTTCTCCGTCGTAAGTTTATTTTATCTCGCTGTTAAGTTTTTATCTCGTCTTTTATTGCAATTTACCTGCCTTTAGGTTAAACATGAGTGTATAATTCTTTTTTTATTTAACTCAGGCTGTGTCCTTGACAACCTTAATATGATAAAGTTCATTCTGACGATTTAGCCCATCAAATCTAGACCACAAAGCAGCTCTTTTGCATGAAAGTCTTAGCAGTTCGTCTATCATATTCATCATCAGCAACGAATCTTGTTCATCATTCGGTTAAAGATTTCATATGGTTGTCTCACTACTTTCCTAAAATCTAAAAAAATCTAGTTTTAAATCGTCTTCCTTTTCAGGTGGGCTGGGTCCTGTCAGAAATCGACCGTCTCAAAATGAATCCAACGCCCCCGGTCGCCATTTTGCCGTTAGGAACTGGAAACGACTTGTCAAGATTCCTTGGATGGGGTGGTGTATGTCATTTCTTTATGAATAAATTTTCTAATGCAGTGAATATTTCTATCTACTGTCTGTCATGTTATGCTTGATAACGTATAATCAGCGCTTCAAGTAATTGTCTGATGATAGCGTGAAACTCAGAGTTACAACTCAGAACCGTCCTGTTCTTTTGACCAATTGTAATTAGACACATAAGAATTTGTGTTAAAGTCGACCATATTTTAACTGATAATTAAGGGCAGCACCAAAACAGTAGTAGTCCCTTTAATAGTCAAATGTGGATATGGGTGTGTAGAGAAGGACTGTTCTATGTTGCAGCTTAGTGCGATCATATGCAACAGCTTGCATGTATGTAGCTTTTGAAGTATGGAGATAGATATTTATAGAGCCTGTCTTGGAAAAAATCTGCTATGGAGAAACTGGTGCCAGGATTTAAGTATAACAGATACAGGAATACAAATGTAACGAGGCTTTTGAAGGCACAGATGTTTATGTGAGCAGAAGGCCTTGCTCAGTGCAGCAGGATTTTCAGTAACTTAATACTTTTTATCGTATACTCATTGTTTTTTTTTTAATATTGTTAAAACAAACTGAAATATTGGCGTTGAATTTATTTATTTCAACAAGTTTTTTTAACTCTTGCATAATTTGAATATTTCCACAGCGAATGAGAAACAAAGAAGATTTATTTTTAAAGATATATGTGTGTACCCTATTAAAACTATGCTGGACGCTTTTGCAATTCGTTTTTCCTTTTTAAAACTCATTACACTTTCGGTTTTAGGGATATACCGATGAGCCTCTTTCTCGAATTTTAACTCAAATCGAGAGTGGTGTTGTTGAGAAGCTAGACAGGTATATTATGCCATTGTGCCATTAAATTATCGATTTTATAAATCTCTTCATCTTTTTCGTAATTAATCTTTATTTCATATGTCCTACTTCCTTTAATATTTCAGACTGCTCTAAACCTAGCTTCAATCCTTGCCACAATTATTGGAACAGTTGCGCAAAGCTAAAGCTTTTTTCAAAAAATCCCCCCTCCCCCCTACCCTCCCTCCATTACAATGTTTTTCAATTGGGCTGTTTTGATCCTGAAGGTAAAACTTTTTCCACTGAAAGCTGTATGAAGGTATTGAGAAAATAAATCAAATTTTTACGGAGAGAAGGGGTCGAAATTTTTGAAGCGGCAGTGATATTTTGGTAAGGTAATTTTAGACTTGCTTTGTTTATTTGGATACTGCAATGGAAAGGCATTCCAATTATTTTTGGCAAGGATTGTAGCTAAGTTTAGTGACAACATAGTTTTCGTCTCCGAAAAAGTTATTTCAAGAGCAATTTTTTGTATTAGAGTTGTATAATTTTAGAAGAATAAAAGTTATTTATGCATTCGATATTTCCTAAATCAGCATTTTGGCTTCTCAAATTAAAGTAAATTAAAATCGTTATTTTTGTTACTCTAGTTAGGTTACGTGCTTCTTTTTGTAAAGCTATGTTCGAAGTTCGACATGTCTAGCAAATTGCGTTATTCTATTTGCATTCGTTTATTTTTATGTTCTTTCAGTTTCTCACCTGTCCTGTTAACTTCGCTCGCGCTGTTTTCTCTGTAGGTGGAATTTGGATGTACGATCAATCCAAAGATCTCCTGATGAAGCTGACACTGGGGAGGAGGCACAAAGCAAGGTACAAATCTGGTAGTAATGAATTTCTTTAGGACAAGTTGCCTTCCGTGGCTTAGCTATGATAGCTGTTTTTGAATGTATGCAAGGAGATGTGTAGGAAACATTTGTTTATATGTCTGTTCACTAGTGTTTTGGGAGCGAACGTGAGGCAGCCCCCGTCTTGCGGTCAAAAGCCTGTGTAGTGAGCTTAATCGTTATTACCCTTAACCTTTGACCCCAAGATGGAAGTGATACTTATTAAAGATTGGCTTCTTTTTCGCTCCAGTAACCGCCGAACATGAACCAAAAATTGAGCTCCACTTTAACTCTGAACCATGATTTTGGTCTTTCTCGACAAAAACGTGACTTTATTGCCCAATTATGAGTAGACTATTTCATTCAAATAGCTCCCTTTGACCCTAAATACTGGCCTGTTCTTCTCCTGTGTTTTTTCTTCAATCGATTGATATATTTTTTGATGCTTAAAGTTCGTTTTATGAATAAAACCACAGAAAAATGAGATGATGTGCCGTTCTTTTTCAGCTCCCCTTAAACGTGATGAATAACTATTTCAGTCTTGGTGCTGATGCTGATGTTTGTTTAGAATTCCACGAATCGAGAGGTATTCTGAATTCTTAGAAATTACACCATAATTCTTGTAGATCCTTCTTCCAGTTCTAGATAAATCAGTGATTCAGTGTCCAATACACACCTTTACTGACAATATGATTTATGGGATATTTTATTCGGAATATCAAACATTTTTATTTTGTTTGTTTACTGAACGTCTACTTTATAGACTTTATTTGTCTTTATTTTCTAAATTGCGAATAAAATATATATTGTTCAAGCTTATTGAGAATGCTTGAGATGAGTTTTCATGGAACTAACTCGTATCGGAGATTCCTAAAAGGAAGTTTACCTGAGCATTTTGTTCGAGTAGATGTTTATGCGAACGAATGGAATCAAATTTATGTATGTAAAAAGCAGAAAACGATCAAGGAACAAAACTTCCATTTTGCTGTTAGTCTTTCCTCACATTTTGCCAAAAACCTGATTTACCGGGGCATGTTTGTTTTGTAGATAAACCTTCATTTTATAACAGTTTCTTTTTGACAATTTGCAGAAGCTAACCCAGACAAATTTACAAGCCGATTTCGAAATCTTGTTTTTTACGGAAAGGTGTGTATATGTATATATATGTATGTACGGTGAAATCTCCAGTGTTGGCTTCGGAGATTCCTCGCTCATTTCATTGGGCCGTTTGGCTCAGTGGAATGAGCATGGGTTTTTGAAGCAGCGAACTGGAGTTCGATTCCAACCAAGAGTGGTTCGATACAATTTGGCAGCACCCTTGTGGAAAGGTTTTCCTCCTGTCAGCTTTTGCCTTGTGATATAAATATATATATATATTTATATTTATTGTGCTTTCACCTTCCTTACCCTTCTTGAAATTTTCTTCTTGTGCAATGCACAATATCGTTTGGTAGAAATAAAGTTGGACCTCAATAAGTTAACTACCTCTTAAGTCGATCTCTAGCTATCTCGAACTTTTTCTGTCTCCCTTGTTTTTTTTGTTGCTTTTATACAAAAAAGCCTAAATAAGTTGAACTCCGGAATAACAGAATAACTCGATAAGTCCGTCTTTTACTCTTACTTTTTGCAAACTAGTCCACTTATGTTAATCAAGATCAATAAATTCAACATGAAATTGCAGTCCAACTGAGTTCAAGCAAGTATTCTTTTATCACATCCGTAACCATTCTTGTTTTTATTCAGGCTGGTGGAAGGCAGGTTCTACAGAGCAAATTTAAGGATTTACATAAAGGCATTGATCAATTGATTGTAAGTGGAAATCTCCTCTTAATTTGAAGCCTTATGTAGAATTTCTTGCCAGTTTTTACATATTTATTTGTTATATAGATGTTGTTTTGAAGATGACACCATTTTGGGTTTTCACAATTTTATAATAACAGGAACAGAATCGAACTATTTACAATCAACATATTCAGCGTATACTAGCGAGCTCCTAACTTGTCCATATCTAACATCAAGCGTGAACAACTGACTCATAATTACATAATCCGACGTTGAGGTCTCGGCACTAGTGAAAGGATTAACGGGATGTTTCTCCTTCACAACAGAAGTTCATGTGAAAGTCGTTCTGAAGGTATTATCAGACTTCTAGCCAGAGCTGTCCCTTTGAAAGTAGTAGCAAAGCTAGCCTCGACATTATTGCTATCTACCCATGAAGTGCAATTAGAAACGGATTAAATATTTATTGTATTATGTATTTGTAGTATTTTAATGTTTATGAAATATTATGATGTAGCATTATAACGGAATATATACATATGTAGTTTTATAATTGTGTCATTAGTATTGTTTGCATATATGTCCATTCCCAGGAGGTAGTCATGATATTCTCCAGTGGGTTCCATCCTTGTTATGTAGTTTAATAGTTCGTACGCAGTGTTTAGGTAATTTGTTATTGTTTTTATACTGAATAGTTGAAAAGAATTTCATCAAAGAATCTCATGCTCAAAATGTTACCTAGCAGAAAGATTTTCCCTTCATTGAAATTTCTAAATTCAAGAATAGGATTGTTATGAATTTCTGTCCCGCCTATGCTGTATTCGTTGGTACCGATTTACTCTTCAGTTACCTTATGTTCTCTTAAGCAATTGAAATTGCAATTAAGCAAAAGCAAAGTGTGAGCAATTGCAATCATATATAAACGTTTTGAGTTGCCACTTACGATTGCATTGTCTGTGCTTTATTCTGTATCCAAGAGTCTTCCTAGGCTAACCATCCGGGTTGCACTTTCTTTAAAGCTGCATTCGCATTTCGATTCCTCAGTCAATGCAATTTTTGACGCTAAATGCTTTTTAAATCAAAGTTACTTTTAATGCGAAGTTTATTTTTTCTCTTTCACGTTTCAGTGTGATGGCCGAGATTTAACTGAGCGTATTCATGAATTAAAACCCGTTTGTATCCTGTTTTTAAACATTTCAAAGTGAGTGTTCAGATATCAGTTCCATATCGAGTTGATTCACTTTTGCATTTTGATAAAGGAAGTTGTCTTGAGTTGATAACGAGGTTTTCAGGCACTTAAAACGAGGCGACAGCTATATTTCATTGTTTAAAGGAGTGATGTCGAGGTCCGCTGGTCTGTTAGCTACGTTTGTGATTATCATGGTGACCGCTGTTTCTTTCTGCAAGTTTCAACTGACAATTTATATTTATAAAATTTTATGTCAAAATTAGATTTACTATTCAATTCATGGATATGCTGCTTTTATCTGGTTTTATCCCCAATAATTGCATGATACTTACAATTTAAACTTACAATAACTACAATTTAAAACTCTTCAGTGACATCTACCGATGCAAGATTTCTCTGGGTACCATGGTTTCTTTCCTTTGTGGAAAGGGTGCCCGTTGTTATTTGGGAAACATTTTAGCAAATGTTGATGGAGTTTTAGCTAAATTTTTTTGCTAATTATGGTTCCCTAACAATTAGAGATTCAAAGGAATTTTTGCGTGAACTTAATTATTCTGTTTTTTCCCCCTTTCTATTAGATACAGTGCTGGCACATCACCTTGGGGACATCCCACTGGCGGGGTTAGTTTTTAATTTCTTTTTGTACAATAGCTAAGGGGGTGGATGAGAAATTTCCCAGATAGTAAGAAACTGGCTGAATGCCTAGCAATCTTCTTAAACTGGAAACAGAAGGAATATAAGGAAGACTCTGGTTTTTTAAAACGTATTAATAGCAGATAAATACAATCTTGATAATGTTCCCACAGTTTCTTTTTGCTCTCGATGTTTCTAACGCTACGATGAGCTTCGTTATATAAACATTGCTGTTTTTGTATAACTCCTGAGGCTCGAAAATAGCAAGCAGTAGTTTGAAATAAGGATGTATTTGTGATTTTCTTAAAAATAATTTATAGAGGGTGGGAGACGTTTATTCTAGACTACATATGTTGTAGACTACTATCTAGACTATAATCAGGACCCTAATGATAACAGTACATATTGTACTGATAGGTTATCCTGTTAAAACATTCGATTTTATTATTATTTTATTATTATTTGCTTTGGTTTGCTCCACAATAACTCTGTTGTTTTTTCTACATTATAAGGATCCACACTTCCTAAACATTGATGATTTTTATCTTTACTGGCGAATTCATTTTAGGATTTTCTGCCTCAAAGTTGTGACGATGGCTACATCGAAGTAATTGGTTTTACCTCAACATCGATGGTAATTTTGCTACATTATACAAAGTTTTTGTTAGAGTTATCAATCTGAAATTGTATATGTTTTGCTAAAGAAAGATTAGTGAAACAAGAAAGCGACCAAGAATTAGCAGTCGAAACCATACTGCTCTCAAGCTTGATGTTTTTTTCTGGCTTACATTGCTATAGCATGAGCTTCAAATCTTTGATTGGTTAATACAGCAGACACACCCCCGAGTTCTGACCAATCAGATAACAAGAAACTGTAAACAAGAAACTGTTATCTGATCGGTCAGAACTCGGGGGGTGTGTCTGTTGTATCAACCAATCAAAGATTTGAAGCTCGTGCTCATTGCTATAGTATCGTTACAAGAAATTTGAACAATTTTTTTGCGGTACAGAATTTGAAAATGGCTTTGAAAAAAGCAAACATTTTACGACATACTAAAAGCTTTTTCGTCTGACACTCCTCAGAGCATAAAACGTCAGAATAGGTTCCGAAAAAACACGATGGAAAAATATATACCCAGTTGTGGATCGAAATAGGCCAATCAGAAAAACGCAAGCACAAGACCGGTATAGTTGACCAATCAGTGCCGCAAGCCTAAAGAAAAATTACCAATGGAGTCCAAGAGAGAAAACGAACTCCTTTTGTTTACACAATGGCGGCTTTTTCGTTTTTATGTAGATTGACTCCAACAACTGGGTATATATTTTTCCATCGTGTTTTTTCGGAACCTATTCTGACGTTTTATGCTCTGAGGAGTGTCAGACGAAAAAGCTTTTAGTATGTTGTAAAATGTTTGCTTTTTTCAAAGCCATTTACAAGAAATTGCATTCTGTCATGTTTTGCCCGAATATATATGTATTAATATGTATATTTATTTTGCTGTATTGAAATGTGAAAAATTTGCCGGAGCATTTAAAACTGAATGGTAATTAAAAATGAAAATCCGTACTAGGCGTTTTTTCAAATTTTTCAGTAAATATATTCAAGACACTGAATACTTTGTATCGGCCAATGGTTACGCTGTGGCGCGCATGACAGAATTGTTTCTAAGTTGCGTCTTAATGAGATCCTAATTTTACTTTTGATGCAGTAAACATGCTAGCGTGTACAGCTGTTTACGGTACAGAGCAGGTTAACAGCTTTGAACTGTTGATCAAATGTTTTTTTAGGTTGCAACGCAATGTGGTGGACATGGCGTTCGCATTGACCAATGCAGCCAAGCCATGCTATACACTAACAAGTCGATAACAATGCAGGTCGATGGAGGTAACCTTTTTCTGTTTATTGATTATAAAACCACTTCTGATTCAGTTGATTGCAGCAATCTCCGTCAAAATACACTCTGTAGGGGGCTTTCTTCGTTCGTCCATTGTTCATAATGGCATAACTGTTCTTTTGTGACTTTTGCCTATATTGGCGGGAAAACTGACTAGTAAATACAATACAACACACATTTATCAAACTCTTTTTTTACAGACCAGTAATTTTAATATTAAGTTCTTTATTTATCAATGTTAATGTATCAGTAACTTTAGTGATACACTAACTTTGATAAATATGCAAGCCAAATAGCTAAGTGTGACAAATGCTATTTGGATCAATTAGCATAATTTTGTATTTGGACACATGTTAGAACATTTCACCTTTTTAAAACGTTTTTGATATTAAATACGATGTCCTTTTTGTAATTTTTTTTAGAGCCATGTCGACTCAAGCCATCTCGGATTCACTTAAAACAGAGGAATAAATCGAATATGATTTTTAAAAAAAAGGTTTGTCTTTATTCTATTGTATGGTTTAAATTTGTTGATAAATATTTATTCAAACTTTTAGATATTATGAGCCACGAATTTCAAGGCGATGGACAGATACTTTAAGTCATCTGTCAATCAAAAATTGACCAATCAGTGAGCGAGATACCAATGACACCCTTATTGATTGGTTAATATTTATTGACTGATGGCTTAAGCCGCTTCGATATCTGACAATTGCCTCTGACCTTAAAACATGATGATAAGGAAAAGTTTTCTCTTTTCTTAGACTTTGATCAAAACTATTTCTTTACTTGAAATAATGTAAACTAATTTCATTTTAGCATCAAAGATTTTATAATTCCCCGCAAGAGTAAGTCTTTTTTATTCATTTTTTGGGCAATTCATTGTAAAACTATTTCCATGGCCTCGAATTATAAGCCTACTTGATTGCATTTATTTATTATAAGAGCTAGTTATTTGTAGACAAGAAAGGATAAAAATGAAAATTGATTCCAAAAGACAACAAAAAACCTGTCCCTTGAAAGAATTTATTTTCCTTAGTCTATGTTCTGATTTGCTCCTCCTCCGTAGTTATCTAAGATCATATTTTCTTGACGAACAGAAATCCTTCAAGCTGACTAAATTAGATTTTGATAGCATTGATTCTGTTATTTTGATGCATTGTACATAAAGTTTTTTATTATTTCTTTTTCTTTTAGATCACAAGTTGTTTCTTCGAAAAAATTGAATCTAAGAATAAATTATTTGACCTTCGTTCAGTATGAAAAATTAGTTAGATACGACATCGAAGAATTAAAAAGTGTTGGTGAGTCCAGTTCTCCTTTATGTTAGTTCCTTTTGTAGGGATTCACTTTTTATGACTTTTAGCGTACTTAACATCTCAGTTCTGGCTAATTGTTTCAAGTGCTTTTATACCTGGCTGTAGGAGGCTTACAATCTGGTAGAAACATACGTCAGCATTATTCCAGTTGCTATAGAGTACCGAAGTGTGACGTCATTAAAAATCTATTTTTAGAATTTCTTAAATTTGGCCGCATAATCTGAAGAAAGAAATGAAATACCTCTCAATGTGCAAAATTAGCTAGATGTGTTCCAAATTGGGCGAGATATGGCCAATGAAAGATTTCAAGTTTGTTAGCGGATTACTGTTATTCTGGCCTGGTTCATAAAGTTATGAACCAAGACCAAATAACAGAGGTTTGATGGGGCAAGAGCCTGTGCTCAAGTGGCCATATAAGCTTATTTTGCATAGTTATAGGTATTTCATAGTGCTCTTTCAGGTTCTGGGATCAAAATTCAGAAATTCTAAAAACTAATTTTTATGACGTCATCACTTCGGTACTCTATGTCGGGTATATATATATTTATTCAAAAACTAAAGCGATTAGTAGCTCGTGAAGTTGTGAAGACATTTTTAAATCCAAGAATAAGAATCGCTCATACCACTGGCGACCAGTCACTACATCCTGTTTCTCGCCGTTTCTCCGTGACGTCATTTTTGCACCGCACTCATTTACCAAGAGACAGTTTGTTCTTATCTAAATACAATTGTGATATATACCAGCAATTTTTCATGCACTGAAGGCCTATTGTTTTGTGTGTTTGATGCTGTTTGTCAAGAACATGTACTGATCCAGTTCTACAAAGTGTTCACAGCCTAATGTTTTCATTGCATATTACGATAATTCTACTCCCTCTGCAGTAGGTACATGCCGGCGATAAATCTCATTCCATGACAATTTTTCTTCTGGATTTCTAAAATTATAACCGTTTGCTGATTTTTATCGTTTTCAAGGCAAAACCCAGCCGTCTCTTGTTCCCACTTCATTCTCACGACAGGCCTATTTCATGTGCAATGAAACATTGTAGCATTGTAGCAACGTGCAATAGTCTTAAGCAAGGACAATAGCTTGTAGATTCATTTGTGACGACATTAATAATTCATTATCGAAGTTGTTACGATCAGGGCTCTCCAAAAATGAGCAAGACTCTAAATCATAGTTTGAGCCGACCATGAATCTCTTGATCAGTTGCCCTGCTGATTGTGCATATGACAACATGATGTCACGGTATTCTTCAGCTGTCACTTATTGTCATATTTGTGCTCTTTTCTCCTAGCTGATCCTATTTGGACATTGTCACTGGTTGATCTCGAAAGCCCGCTCGATGAGCTGCGTCAATATATCGAAAATCTAAGGCAATCGCAGGTGAGCTTGTCTCACTTTATACTCCGTTTTACAGGGACTAAAATTAACAGGATCGCGATCCTGGTCACCATATTGTTTGGTCTACACGGCCAAAACTGAATTAGGATCGCAATCAGATTTTGGATGCATACTCTATCATTTATTGTGCTAGAGTATTGTAAATAGGCATCTAGGCCTTGTGTGAATAAAAGGTTGAACATTGAATAAGAGGTAGAAAGTCAACCCTTTATCCTTGAAACAAGCCTATCCTTATTTCTTTTTGCGTTGTTAAGTTGTCATTGGATTCTTTCCTCCTACCAATGTCAATACGTTTATTTGATTCAACCAAATTGCTTGATGGGAAGGCGTTTGTAAAACCGGAGATAGGTTGGGCTATCCGCTCGTTGTTTTTTGTTTTATTTTGCCCTTTGGCTTAGCGACTGCGATCACGAACGGTTATACAAGAAATACTAAACGGGATCCGGACCGCAATACAATCCACCTCTGAATTGGGATTGATTCTTGGCGGATACGGTAATCAATCACGATTGGATATTCATACAAAAAAACTTTCAGGATGTCGCAATTTTCCTTTAGTATTACCTCAATCGTGCCACTCCTTTGTGTTCTTTATGTCTCTTCTAACTATAAGTTTATCAACGAAATATTTAGCAGCTTTCAAAATGAAATATTGAAACTAATTTTAGAAATTTTAGACCGAATACCAAGTCAATGCTAGTTATAGTCCCTTTCATAAATCACCGGCCAAATATTAATTCATTTTATTTTATTCGTCCTTTACAAAACCATTTATCGTTAATCTGATTTTTCTTTATCACTTTGTGCTGTTCCTTCTCGCCGTTTTCATACATAAACTCGATTCTAAGACTTTGACAGACGACCTATATACAATCATAGTCAGCCGAAAAAACTCTAGTCTGGGAGCTTATTGTTCGGTTTTTTTGTTTGCAAAGCGAACTTGGAAACACGTGCATTCTTATAACGTGGTCTAAGTAAAGGAACAGGATAGAACATTCTCTCATTTCACGATGTCATTTCTATTTCATATGGTATCATATGCCTTTCGTTTGCAATTTGTGTAACTGTTAAATTGTTGTAAAGCATATCTCTTTGTACGATTTTGCTAGTGCATAGTTCAATATCTGTGTATAGGATTGATTTGTCGCTCAAGATTTCAAGATTTCTTGTGGATTAACGTGCAAAAATTCATTGTGGTAACACAAATATTTTGTCAGTTGTAGATTTTATAAGTACCCCTTAACCCTTCAAATATCGAACCATGTCATGTATTCTTTGTTACACTTAATGGCGCAGTCTTTATCCATCAAAATCAAAAGTGATCATGTCATAAGATCAGTAAATTGTATTTTCAGGAAGAAATAAAGTCAAAACTTTCAGATCAATGGTGCTTTTTGGATGGTACGTATTTTTGTCTTTTACTGATACAGTAAAGCTGCCATATAATGGCAACGGTTTGGACTAATGTAATTATCTATTTTTGAGAGGTATCCGTTGTATAGAGGTGTCCGTTGTATAGAGGTGTCCGTGGTTTATAGGTGTCCGTGGTATAGATATGTCTGTTTCAAAGAGTTGGTCATTGTAGTAAGGTGTCCGTTGTATAGAGGTGTCCGTTGTATAGAGGCGTCCGTTGTATAGAGGCGTCCGTTTTATAGAGGTGTCCGTTTTATAGAGGTGTCCGTTTTATAGAGGTGTCCGTTTTATAGAGGTGTCCGTTTTATAGAGATGTCCGTTAATGGGGGTGCCACTGTATCCCATACTATTACGTTTTGAAAGAAACCAAGTATCAGAGAGGTCAGCGACCTTTTAAAATACCAACAGATTACTTCAAAATAATTGCAGTTTTCATGCTTCCTTCCAGCTACCTGGCCAACTAGGATCTACAGGATAGATGAAGCGCAGGAGAACCTCATGTTAGTAGGGGATGTCGTTGAAGATGGAATACATGTTCTTGATCTTTCGAGAAAGGAGGGCTCCTTCACCGATTCCTTTTCAGTGTAAGTTGGGTAGTACTTCTCAATTATTTTGCAAATCTGCTGTTAAATGTATTTATGATATAAATTTAATATGTCATTGTTTGTCATATGGGTCTTCTATATTAATGATTACTTTACTTGACATCTCTTGTCGAGTAAGCCACCCCCGTTTCTGTAGACAAATAGCACCCCCGTCGAACTTCATCATCATTACATTGACTGTAAGAAGGGGGCGGCTCATTCGGAAATTCTTAGTGCTTCTTATTAGGTGATACGGTTTTTACATGGGATTACTAGATACTGTACAACTAGTTATCATATGATATCGTTGCTGCTCTGCCCGCTGATGAAATAAACACCTAAGTCTGTTATATGTCTCTAGAAAGAAATGATTGTCACAGGTATCAGCCGAGAAAACCTTTATCGTTCAGTATGAACTAATTTATGAAATGCATGTTGATAGCAAATTTTGCAACACGTTTTGCAATTTTCATTTTTTTTTCAAAGCTTGACAGAGCTACTATTTGCTGCCAAGGAATCACATGATCAACTATTGCTTAGGTTTTCTCGCTGTTTCAAGCTTGATCATTTTCATTTTCAGATCTTCTACTCTAAAAAACGCCTCAGGTTGGCGAGAATCCTCCACAATTGATTACCACGACAGGCCATCTCCAATGCGGCGGATATCATCTCCAACACTTTATGAATTTCACAATGCAAAGGACACCGTGTCTACAACCAGGGTATTATGGGAATCCCACCCAGAGGACAGCGATGATGACTTTACCGAGAGCAGCGAAGGAGAACCGGAAATTGACGAGAATGACGAACCTACTACAGAAAAACGAGGTGAAAATGGTGAGAATGAGGAAGATACCGAGTTAAGGTGGGACTGCTTTCAAGCTTACCATAATATTTTTGAAAGTATAATGATATTTACATCATTGCAGTGAGGATGTTTCTCCACTACTTTGTCAGCCCCCTTAGTCAGAATATCATTTATTTTAAAAACTCTGAAGGGCTGACTGTCGCATGAACAAGTGTCTGAGCATTGGGAGGTCAAGACGGGGGTCCAAAAGGGTTTCGGGATTGCAGTAGGTTAGGAATTGACATGAAAGGTACCCTGCCTACAATGGCCAGCTTTCTTAAGACACCATGGAATTTACAAAGACACTAAAGATCCACCATTTTCCAATATTCCCTTTTGAACAGCTCATACCTAATTTATGTTTTTGATGCTGATGTTCTAAAGGTGACTTTTTATTGACCATTCCTTTAATTAAAAAAGCTCATATGATTGAAAATCTTTGCCTTCAAATAATTATGTGTTATGATTCAGCAGCTTTTACTGTAGACATTACGAATTTTACTTTATGCCAATTAGTGAGCGTTGCTATCTTTCCTCACTGTTTGTAACGGGCTAAGAGTAGGTCAATTAAAGAATGTTTTTCAAGAAACTTTTTCAAGAATTCTTTTGTCTTTCATGCCAATAGCAGTCGAGAATGCAGTCCTCGGCCGATGCCCTCTTCGCCAGTTTCAAAACACAACGGTCTAGCAAATGGTATTGATAACATGTAAGTTTTTTGTTCCATTTACTGAATTTACTGATTACGAGTTTTGTGACGACCTTGCCGTGTGAAGTTACTTGTCTCTAAAATTTGGTTCTAAATTCTGTCGCAAAATATCAAAGTATTTTTTCTTTTTATGTTTGTAGAGCTCGACTGGATACAGAGGAAAAGAAACAATGTAAGATATGCTTACGAATTTCTTCTCCGTTCAAAAAGGGCATTTTGCTATCTTTATGAACACACAGACAGACACACAGACACACAGACACACAGACACACAGACACACAGACAAGCAAACAGCAGAATTTCAATTTTTAATGGCCAATCTCGCCCGAAGCAAATATCTAAACTTGATAAGGCAACCTCTCCTCTCAGTTCACTCCTTTTATTCTTTCGCAGCTTGAGCGTTGAATTTGAATGGTCATAGAGTAGCAAACTTTTAGTGATAAATTGTTTGTGATATATCTTATGTAAAAGTCAAAGGCCATGACTCTTCTCACCTCATCCCCATCATCTTAAGGTCCAAGTACACTCCAATATTTGATATCACAGAATGCATGGTAGTGTCAAAAGGAATGTTAAAGTGCCGTTATTAAGTACCATTGTTTTACCGGGCAATATAACTTTATGTTTTTGATTACAATATCACTTTAGCAAACATAAAGGATTGTGTTGTTTATGTTCCACAATAGATTCTATATTAATACAAGTCAACGTATTTATCTTATTTTTATCTTTGTGACATATCTATCTACATATTTATTTTTAGTCAAGGTTTTTATTGAATAGTATCTCGATCTATTTATTTCTTTTCTTGTTTCCTTGTCGATTTCTTATTTAACGTTTGTATTCATATCTTCAAGGATTTATTTCTCTATTTGTTTGTTTATTCATTTATCAATCTATTTTTTGTTTTTTTCCTTTTTTTCGTGAATTTGAGCAACTTCTACGTTTGTTTCTAGTGCTTTTGGCAGCTGCAAAGAAAGGGAATTTGCAAACGGTGAGTTTCGTTGCATAATTTTTTTTAGTCATCTATAGGTGTTTTATTCACCATCACTGTAACGCTATTCTTTTTTAAATTTGTTAATCAAGTTCATCTTTTTTCTCAGTTCGTGGCATTACACCAAGCCGATGCAAGCCTTCTTTGGTGTGATAACCGTGGTTACACAGTTTTACATCTGGCTGCTAAGCACGGTCACAAGGAGATTGTCAAACATATAATTGCAAATGGCAAGCTATCCTTTATATACATTGTACAATTGTCCTTCGATAATCTCATTCCCTGCGCTCCTTTTAGGGATACGTTTTTGTTCTTGGTACCTTTAATCTATGCACTATTTCTATAGTCATCCTTTCATCATTACTTTGAGATTTTTTATCATGAAAATAAAGGGAAAACCAAAAGCAATTCTATCCTCCTTTCCTGTGTATTATTTCACCTCCCTGATCTCTACGCTGTCCAATTTCCTTGTTCTTTAGGGATCATCTCAAATTAACATTGACATTATAAATCAATCGACTTTAGGGGTCATTCATCCATACCTAGCATTCTAGAAATTTTGAGATCACCTCCGTTTTTTATTGTTATTTGAACAACTCTTGCCCCCTTCATTCATGCTTCTTCTCCCCTTGATCAAATGAGACAATAACAAATACAGGTAAAAGTACTATGTTTTTCCATCTGCTATTGATCCTTTCTTTTCCCTATCACTTATATTCAGTTGCATGTAAACATGCTAAAGCTGTTAAACTCTCCGTCATCCTTGAAAATCGATTCCCTTGAGGCTGAATTTGAGGCGACATATTTTTTGTAGGTATCGAGGCATGCCCAGTTTTATTTTTGTCTTCGCGGCGAATTCGCAGGAACAAAAGTAGAAACGAGCTAATGCACAATCATAGGAAAGTAAATTTGCTTGATTTATGAGAAAACAAGCTATAAACATTCGCCATGCGTGCAATTTTAAAATTAGACGCTTAAAAGATTAGTTTCCGGGAGAATCAGAATATAGTCTTATCATATGACAATTTTGTAGCGAATGTGGTGCGAAATTCGCCTCGTGGAAATCAACCGTTAATTGGTGCGCTTCATGTTTCTACAGGGCCTGTTTGCTGCCTTGTGAAATGTATTTCTGCACCCTTTTACTTAATAAATGACACCTTTTTCAACTTTAACTTCACAGTGTCGAAATGTGCATTGGATCTAGTTGACGATGAAAAGTGAGTGTCCAAAACCAATTTTTATTTATGATTGTTGTAGTCAAAACCTTCTCAAATAAATCACTTTTATTTAGAAACTATTTTCAAATCATTTCAAATAATGATTTAAATAAAAGCGCTTCAGATTTTTTTGTGAAATGCGGACAATTTTATTTAAAAGCATTTTTTATAATTACAGAACATCAACTTATATTTTATTGGGGCTTATACAGTATGGCAGTGTCTGCAAAAATAATTTGCCTATTTGATTTAATTTAGGAAGCAAACAGTTAGTGCGCTAATTGTTGAGATGTTCTAAGGAAATTATATTTTGAGATGTAAAACTAAGCAATATTTAGGGTTATAAAACCTGACTTAATGTTGCCTTGTCCGTTCGCAAAAACATTACAGTCACAATGCTCGTTCCATCATCCTCCCCATCGTCAAGCTTCATAAAGAGGTTGGCAGCCTCGATATCTGGGTGTTTTGACGAAAGCAAGTCAACGAGAATTTCATGTTTTGTTTTGACCAGCTGCTCTGTGCGATAGTTTTTCAAAATATCGACTATTTATTCATGATTCGTCGCTCATTTATCATATCTACTTCTTTACATTTTGCTATAATGCGATTTCTACAGTGTCTGATTCTTTCAATCTCTGCATGTTAACGGTTGAAACTTCTCCTTTGCTCAGTGGGTTTCGTCTTTCTTCCGCCCATTTTCATAGTCCCACTAAGTAGTAAGTGGGCTTTTTCTTATCATCTATTGCAGCTGACCAAAACTAATTGCATATTATATTATTAATACGTGTTTTTCATCCTGTTCATTCATTGTTGTTCAATTTTCTTAGGTGTCAAACCCCTTTGCACAAAGCAGCCTCGCGTCAAAGAAGAACCATATGCCGGATGCTAGTAAACGCGGGTGCCTCGCTTACGAGAAAGGATCACGTGGTACGTTTTACAACCAGTCTGCTAAACATTCCCTTTTTTGTCAGTTTTTATCCCTCCATCTTTTAATGTTTTGAGTCAGTGTCAGGAGCATAACTTGGTCATAACTCCTGTCTCCTAATTCACCATCCGAGAGTAATAAAGCAATTATTAAGGTCAAGAAAGACTTGTCTGCCTCAGTTATAATGCTATTCTGCCTAGCCATATGCCAATGGTCACTATTACATATCTAAGAGATGTTAATAAGAAAGGGCTCATAGCAGGATCCTTGTTTTAGCTCGAAATTTGTTTGTTGATTTCACTACAGTCGGAATTGTGTAGCAATTCAAAAAACTGCTATTGTGTAGACAGAGGGAGTTTGTTTTCACCTTAGGACTCCATTGGTAACATTTTTAATAGGCAAGCTGCACTGGTTGGGTACCTCAACAGTCATGTGCTCGCGTTTCTGCTTGGCCTATTTCGATCCACAACTGGGTGTATCTATTTCCAAGCGTAGTGTTTTAATCTATGTTTTGACATTTTATACTCTGAAAAGTGTGAGACGAAAAGCTTAAGTATCTTCTAAAATGTTTGCTTTTTTACAGACAAATTAATGCATCATCGATGTGTTTGTTTATTTTGTTTGCTGTTACGGTTCTTTTAACTTTACAGGGAAATACTCCCAGATTACTAGCTCTGAAAGCCAAAGATAGCGACCTGGCAAAATTTCTTGAAAGTGAGTTGCAATTTTGTTCCCTGATTTAATGATAACAACAAATACTGTTAAATTTACCTCTTCTCCATTTCGACTTGTGGTCATGTTCTTGACTCCTGATGAGGCTAGATTTATTTGAAACATAGGTCGAAGGAACTATGTTTCAGTTAGTCCTTTTTTTCTTCTAATGTAAAACTTTTGGAAAAACAGCAAAGACATTGGAAGTAAGTCTTACCTGCAACATTCGGAGTTTCAGCCAATGGCCTAGGCGGACATAGCGAACCCCTTTAGCGAATACGATTTGGTGTCTATCACTTTCAGGATCTCTTTCAACTAGTTCAATATCACGGCGCCGTAGATAATTAATCGAGTGACCTATCCAGATTAACTACAGTGGTTAAACTATTCGACAGCAATCTATAAACTGGGTTGATAAACCAGTTTCCACTTGCTTGTCGACCGACCGCTCTAGATAGACAGCATTTAGCAGGTAAACAACACACGACCTACATTGTTTCTATCTTCCTTTCAGATCAAGAGAGACTGCAAATAATTGCTTCTGATGATCATGAGACAGCCGTGTGATATCATCAGCTATACTCCAGATTTGCATTACTCGATTGCAGACTGCTAGAATTTCATTCCATGATCATTATGCTCTACATGCATCTACCCTTTTGTTCAAAATGGTCCCTTTTTTATTTTTGTATTGCAGTATTTTAAAACAGCAGGAATGGCAAAAGAAATAAAAGCGTCGTGTAAGAAGGGCTGGGGCAAATGTCTACCTTAGCATCATACGGTCGTTAGTTTTGAGTTTTGTCCTAGATTAACCATTTATGTCAATCGCATCTTATCGAAAGGTTTTATTTCGGTTCTTGTGTCACTCACTATTCAATAATGTCAGATAGTCCAGCATTTTTAGGCTTTGTCTGAAAAGCATTACCCTTTAAAAGACATTCCTTTGCAAATCTGAAGCCATGGTGTTCCTGAACATCTGAACTCCCTCACTGTTGTAATATTTTTCAATATACTGGGTCCCAAGGTTTAATTTTTAGGAGCTGTTTACACATGTCCTGACCAGCTCTAAGCAGCCTAAGGGGCAATTCCATTTGTATGCACTACTCCTTCGAATATTTACATGATATCAGCAGTCAATTCAGTTCTTCCAACCCTGGTAGCCTAACTATCAGCTATGTAGGGCTGGCCCGCTGAGACGGGTTCTCTTTTCACTAAATTTGTTTATGTATTGTCGGGGGGACTCAGTCCATGGTTATCTATGCGCATTGAATAGTTAGCCCAAGCTAATTTTCTAGCGCCAAACCTAATGCCGATGCTATTGAATTGTTTTTCTTGGGTTAGGCCAACGCTACCTGGTTGCTACCTTTGTTTTTGTGTGTAGATAACAATCTGCAGCTGTCCTCCCGTCCCTAACAAATGTTTATATAGGCCTTGAAACTGTTACTGTTGTCGCAATAACAAAAACACAACGTAATGCTATCTCCATTTGATTGGACCCACGGTAAGCAGCGGAAGATTAATAGTAACAGAGTAGCAGGCTTCTTCAATTTTTAAGATTAAATTTTCCTACTATTTATCTCCATAATGGTCAGGTTATTATGAAACCAAAATTTATCCCCACGATCTCAGGCCCCTTGGATAGTGAATCTTGAGCTTACAATTGAAACTGGCTCGGGTGGGGTTAACCTTCCCCTTAAAGAAGCTGTCCTGGGCTCTTATAAGCGTAAATAGGTTTCTTTTTTTGGGTTGAGCTGAACAGGAAGCCAACCCGGGCTCGTGTAAACGACGTTGTGGTAACAATCTGAGTTTAAGGTGAATCGATTCGGTATTTTAAATGAAAATATGAAGCTCGTTTGATAAGCCTATGAAACCAACTAGATTTGTATGATATACTGGAAGATAATCGCATATGTTATAAGCTACGTAGAAGCATCAAAGAAATTATTGTCACTTTAAGCACACTTTGCGTTGCTTTTGTTCGAAATTCTTTTTAATGCTGGTAGATTCAATTTTTACATTCCTCAGTAGAATATTAAACTGTTCGTAGTGTATATGCTGATGATACAGTAAAATCTAGCTATATTAGAATTATTTCTTCTGAAAATGATAATTTTAGAACGCAAAATGTAAGTTTATCTTACTTATTCAAGGCCAGGTCTACAGACTGACAACAGCACAGTTGCTGAACTGAGAATTCTGTCTGTTCTTTTGTTATCACAATGATCATTTTCCGTCTTAAATCCTGAATCTTGGACCCAGTCTTTCACAAATTCTTTTTCCAAAGACCAGTCTTAAAACATTTTTTTCTTTTTATAAGATGAATTATTAAAGAAATTTTAGACCCGAAATTTTTAAATTTTGATAATTAATTGAAGAATAATTGCCAGTTCGAATTTTGTCGACAGTTTGACTTTTCATCTCAGAGGCGGATCCAGATTGAGTTCCTTGGTGCACAGAGAACTCAGTCAGTTTTCCAACCTATAGCTAAAAATAGTGTAGCCTGAAACAAATGATATTTAAACTAAAAAAGTGAAACCTACAAATTATGCCTTTTACCAAAAAGTTTTATCACAGTATCTTCAAAATCTGAAAATTGCCTTCAAAATCTGAAAATGTTTAATGTAATTTGTTCGTCCTTTTCCTTCTTTCTTCTCTGCCGTGATTTAGAAACGATTTTCCAGACGCTGTGGAGGACAACAGCA